TCCGCCTCCCGGGTTCAGGCAATTCTCCTACCTCAGCCTCCCAAGCAGCTGGGACTACAGACGTGCACCACCACACCCAGCTAATTTTTTATATTTTAGTAGAGACGGGGTTTCACTATGTTGGCCAGGATGGTCTTGATCTCTCGACCTCGTGATCCACCCGCCTCGGCCTCCCAAAGTGCTGGGATTACAGGTGTGAGCCACTGCGCCCGGCCTCGAGCCTGCATTTTTAACGAGATCTCAGTTGATTTGTATGCACAGTGAACTTTGAGAAGCTCTTATTTATTTATGTATTTATTTACTTACTGAGATGCAGTCACATTCTGTCGCCCAGGCTGGAGTGCAGTGGTACGATCTCAGCTCACTGCAACATCCGCCTCCCAGGTTCAAGCGATTCTCCCACCTCAGCCTCCTGAGTAGCTGGGATTATAGTTGTGGGCCACAACACCTGGCTAATTTTTGAATTTTTAGTAGAGATGGGGTTTCACCGTGTTGGTCAGGCTGGTCTCAAACTCCTGATCTCGTGATCCACCTGCCTCAGCCTCCCAAAGCGCTGGGATTACAGGCATGAGCCACTACTCCTGACCTCTTTTTTTTTTTTTGGTGACAGAGTCTCATGTTGTCACCCAGGCTAGCATGCAGTGGCGCAATCTTGGCTCACTGCAACCTCTGCCTCCCTGGTTCAAGGGATTCTTGTGCCTCAGCCCCTGCAGTAGCTAAACTACATGGGGCTAAATTTTGTATTATTAGTAGAGACGGGGTTTCAACATGTTGGCCAGGTTGGTCTCAAACTCCTGACTTCAGGTGATCTGCCTGCCTCAGCCTCCCAAAGTGCTGGGATTATAGACATTAGCCACCATGCCTGGCCTGATATTTTTGATTCCTCAGGAAATTATGTCGTCCTCTTAGGAAGCAGAGAACTGAGAGTGGACTGGCCCAGGGTAAAACGATCCTGCCACAGAGATGCAAACCTGGGACTGGTTAGGACAGAGCTGTCAGACGGCCTTGGCCCAGCAAGCATGGGGCAGAGCCAGCCTGGGGACTCCTGGAGTTGGGATGTGTGGACAAAGCCTCACCAGTGTTGGACCTCCCAGGAGATGGCCGGTATGCAGCCAGTGACCTCTACAGAGGTCACAGCAGAACTGGGGGCCTGTCAGTGGAAAGGACACAAATCCTTTCCACAAAACCAATCCTTTGCATGACAGCGCCCTGACAGCACCTTGGGGAGTAGGTAGAGGAAGTGGGTTATAACCAGAAACATTAAATATTCATCCCAGAGACTGAACTAACTTGGAAGCCTTGACATTTGAATGGAGATGTTGATTCCTGGTATTCACAGTAACTCACATTCCGTAACATCACCAGGAACGCCAAATTAGCAAACGCTGAACGCTGTTCCTAGACGAAGCACAAGGGCAGGTTCCTGTGAGCCTGTCACGGCATTTGCATCAACTGATCAGTACACAGCCTGGTTTTATGACTGTTTCTGTCGGTTTTTTGATTGACTGAGATGGAGTCTCACTCTGTTGCCCAGGCTGGAGTGCAGTGGAGTGATCTTGGCTCACTGCAACTCCGCCTCCCCGGTACAAGCAATTCTTCTGCCTCAGCCTCCCAAGTAGCTAGGATTACAAACATGCACCACCACGTCCAGCTAAGTTTTCTTTCTTTCTTTTTTTTTTGAGATGGAGTTTCCCTCTTCTCGTCCACGATGGAGTGCAATGACACGATCTCAGCTAATTTTCATATTTTTAGTAGAGACGGGGTTTCACCATGTTGACTAGGATGGTCTCGATCTCTTGACCTCGTGATCCACCCTCCCAAAATGCTGGGATTACAGGCTTGAGCCACCGCACCTGGCCTGGTTTTGTTTTTTAAAACACAAACATTCATTTCCTGCCTCAGAGTACATTTATTGAGAAAGCCCAGCCACGGCCTGATATTCATGTAATTCTCAACAATTAGGTGAGCCCAGGCTGGAGGGCAGTGGCACAGTCTCGGCTCACTGCATCCTCTGCCTCCCGGGTTCAAGCGATTCTCCTTTCTCAGCCTCCCCAGTAGCTGGGACTAAAGGTATGAGCCACCACGCCTGGCTAATTTTTGTATTATTAGTAGACACTGAGTTTCACTGTGTTGCCCAGACTAGTCTCGAACTCCTGACCTCAGGTGATCCATCTGCCTCGGCCTCCCAAAGTGCTGGGATTACAGGCGTGAGCCACTGCACCTGGCCGAGGCAGGTTCTCTCTGCGATATGCTTGCAGAGCATCTTCTGAGTGGCTCCACTTCAAAAATGGATGCCACTTCCTTTATTTGCCCTGCTGTTGCTGTGTTGTGGCCTCGTCAGTTTCCGTCTCAGAGGGTGACATTCTTAGCTGTGTTTATTCATGGAAGCATCGTTGGCTCAGCTGCTGCAAGACAGTAGAAAGAGCTGAGGCATGGGGTTCAGGCCTGTCCCTTTCTCTAACTTGGAGGGTCATCCTGGATGAGTCAGTTGTCATCTTCTCGACAAATCTGCCCTCCCTCCTGCCTGCCTGCCTGCCTCAGTGTGTGCATCTGTGGGAGGCTAAATAATGGCCCTGAAGATATCAGGTCCTGAATGCTGGAACCTGTAAATGTGGCTTTATTTGGAAAAAGGATCTCTGCAGATGTGATTAAAATTCTTTAGATGGGGAGATTAGCCTGGAGTATCCAGGTCGGCTTGGTATAAGAGGCCAGGCGTGGTGGCCATGCCTGTAATCCCAGCGCCTTGGGAGTCTGAGGTGGGTGGATCACTTGAGGCCAGGAGTTCGAGACCAGCCTGGCAAACATGTCAAAACTCTGTCTCTACTAAAAATACAAAAATTAATGGGGCATGGTGGTGCAAGCTACCTGGGAGGCTGAGGCAGAGAATCACTTGAATCTGGGAGGTGAAGGTTGCAGTGAGCCAAGATCGTGCCACTGCTCTCCAGCCTGGACAACACAGCAAAAAAAAAAAAAAAAGCTCCAGTATAAGACGGAAGATGATGAGACAGACACACAGAGAAGGCAATGTGGGGACTGAGCGGAGACCATGCCGGCCTTGAAGGCTGGAGTGATGACAGCAGCCACCACAGGGCAGACGCGGATTCTCCAGAGGCCATGTGACCCTGGTGACAGCTTGATTTTGGCTCAGTGATACTGATTCCAGACTGCTGGCCTCCTGAACTGCGAGAGAGTCAGTTTCTCCTGATTGAAGCCACTCAGCAGCAGCCACAGGAAGCTAACACTGAATCAGCATCAAGCTAGACATAGAGGGGAATCTGTGACTCCCCCATTTTCTTCTCGGCCCATAAGGTCCTTTCTCCTCTTGTGGCCTCACCAGGACCACAGCAGTTTCTCCCCTAATCTCCTCAGTCTTCTTTTCCTCCCAGTCCAGCCCCCATGTTGCTGTCAGGAGGTTTTTCTCAAGTGTAGCTCTGGCCACGTTAACTGGCAGTGAAAACCTGTCAGTGGCACAATTAAGCCTTAAGATGAGGCGAAACTGTGTGGCCTGAAAGGATCCCTAGTCTTCTCCCACTGTCCCCCCCACACTCACTCCTCACTCATACACAGTCACTCCCCGTCAGACTCCAACAAACAACACACTCTCAAACACACAAGCACATATTTACTCATATATTAACACACTACCTTTTTTTTTTTTTTTTTTGAGACAGAGTCGCTATGCTGCCCAGGCTGGAGTGCAGTGGTGTGATCTCCGTTCACTGTAACCTCTGCCTCCCAGATTCAAGCAATTCTCCTGCCTCAGCCTCCTGAATAGCTGGGATTAGAAGCGTGCGCCACCAGGCCCAGCTAATTTTTGTATTTTTAGTAGAGATGGGGTTTCACCATTTTGGCTAGGCTAGTCTCAAACTCCTGAGCTCAGGTGATCTGCCCACCTCAGCCTCCCAAAGTGCTGGGATTACAGGTGTCAGCCACCAAGCCCTTCTCCTCCCTCCTTCCCTTCCTCCCTTCCTTCCAGTGTGAGCCACCAAGCCCCTCCCTCCCTCTCGTGCTATTGCCCAGGCTAGACAGCAGTGGCATGGGTCCCCTACAGCCTCTCTATCCTGGGCTCAAGAAACTGTCCCACGTGAGCCTCCAGAGTAGCTGGGATAACAGGTGGGTGTCACCATGCCTGGATAATTAAAAACAAAAATGTATGTTTTTGTAGTCAGGGTCTCACTATGTTGCCCAGTCAGGTCTCAAGCAACCGTCTGCCTCAGTCTCCCAGAGTGCTGGGATTACCGGCGTGAGCCACTGTACCTGGACCACAGCATCGCATTCATAGACACACTGGCTGCGCACTGAGCCATGCTGAGCAACTGAGTTCCCCTGTGTCTAGGCTGTTTTAGCTTCTCCGACATTCCTGTGTTCTTGGGACATCTCTCACAGGTAGAAAGTAGCCTTATCTTAACTGCGTGCTAGCACAGGCTCGGCACACATGGGTCTGTTCAGTATGGAATACAAAATGGTTGTGTGCAGTGACAACGCCTAGAACGCCAAGACCAGTCATCTCATTCCATCCTTACCTTCCCCCCACCCACGCCCCCAGACGTTTTGCTCTTGTTGCCCAGGCTGGAGTGCAATGGTGCGATCACGGCTTCCTGCAACCTCCGCCTTCCGGGTTCAAGCAATTCTTCTGCCTCAGCCTTCCGAGTATCTGGATTTACAGGCATGCGCCACCAGGCCTGGCTAATTTTGTGTTTTTTAGTAGAGACTGGGTTTCTCGATGTTGGTCAGGCTGGTCTCGAACTCCCGACCTCAGGGAATCCGCCCGCCTCGGCCTCCCAAAGTGCTGGAATTACAGGCGAGTACTGACCAGCATAAAAAGTGCTAATAGTCTGCTCCCGTTTCTATTAGCAAACACACCTGTGCGCACACGGAGCTTTGGTCCAGTCTGGAGGGGAGGGCGGGGCCTCCCCGGGAGTGAAGGGGGCGGGGTCGACCCGGAGCCTCCAGGGAACGCTCTTGAGTAACTCGCGCGCGTGGGACCCCTTCCCACCTAGGACCACAGGCTCCAGATGGCCGGGCAGATGCAGCCGGCTCGCGCCTCCTCCGACGGGAACCCAAGGACCTGGTAGGTTCTCACCCTTGCAGTAGATCGGCTGAGAGAACGCGGCATTCAGCCGAGATGCCCCGGGGAGCCGGAGCAGCTAAGCGGAGGCCGCCGCGCAGCCCGCACGGAGAAATCGGATAGGTGGGGACCGCCTGCAGCTCCCGCGCGGGGAAAGGGTGAGTGAGAGACCCCGGGGCTCCGCAGTCCCCCCAACAGACTTCACAGCCCCCGACCCTCGCGGGCCTCCAGAGAAGCGGGCAGCGGCCGAGAGATTCTCCAGCGGCGTGGCCGGAGCCCACGTGGAGCCCACGGGCTTCCCTGCCCTGAGCAGCTGCAGCTGCAGCCCCCGCCAGCCTGAGTCCTGAGTCCAGCCCGGAGGGCAGCTCCTGCCCCGCCTGAGGTAAAGTCGGCTGAGTGCCAGGGAGGGAGCCGGGAGGTCCGGCGCTTTCAGGAGTCAAATAACCCTGCCGCTACCGCGGGACCCAGATGCGAGCCAACCGCTCGCCCGCCCTGTCCCGCCTGAGCTTGGCTCTCGCAGCCTTGGGAGCAGCCCTCCCGTGTCCATCACAGCCAGCGCCCAAACCCCGGGTGCCTCAGGACAGTCCCCTTGCGTGCCGATCGTCCCCCTAGGTTTTGAGCATGGGGCCAGGGGCCTGGGGACTAGGGGCTGCGTGTGGCCTTGTCCACCACTGTTGGCGCCTGAACACTCCTCCTCGGGGTCTGAGGTCGAGGTCCAGCCTGTAGGATACCATCACAGGCCACCTGCAGGCCAGGGGACTTGCCTGCCCGCTCAAATTGTGGCAGCCACCTCCAACACCAGCAGGGACCACTTGGGTTCCAGAGGGTTGTCCCCCAACTGCGACTGCCCTCACCCAAATCACACCGACTGCTCCTGGGCCTGGGATCAACCACAAGCTCAGCTGGGGCTGCCACTACCAGGATGGAGCAGGGCACCTAGAGGACCCTGAATTGCTCCCCTGAATTCATTAACGCCAGAGCCAGCCTACACCTCTCTGGGGTTCAAGAAGAGGCAAGCTCAGGTCACCACTGGGTCCCAAACACTGGCCCACCTTGGCCTCCTAGTCCCCAGCAACCACAGCCTCCACTAATAACCACACCCTAAGCCATCCAAGAAATCATTCAGAGCCTATGGTATTACGCCAAATCAAATCCGAAGTGCCCCACCGAACCAACACTGTATCTACCTTTTCAGGAAGAAGTCCTCCCGTAGGAAATGAGTTCACAAACTTGGAAGAAGCAATTTACACAGGACGGGCAGATCTCAACAGAAGGACACGAGAGACAGGAAAAAGCAAGGAAATGGGATGCTTCCAAAGGAACCCAGTAATTTTCCAGCAACAGATGCCCATCCAAAAGAAATGGGCAGATTAATTTTGGGCAGTTTCTCCATGTTGGTCAGGCTAGTCTTGAGAGAGAACTGGGCATATTAATTTTAACCAAGATTAGGGGGATACAAGAGACAAGAAAAAGGAACGAAATGTCAACAGCAATTCTGGATATGGTTGACGTAGCTACCAACCAGATGCTGAGTTTTCCAGAGTGCACAGCAAATATGGAACTGAGGAAATCGGTGTATGATATACAAAGTACACTTGAAAGTTTCAGTGATAGACTAGATCAAGTAGGAAAAAAAACTCTCAAAACTTAAAATCTGAAGACTTTTTCTCAGTTCAAAGAGATTTAAAGCATTATACTCTGGCCATTCATGTGAACAAAATCTGCTGGGTTGTTACACTAGGGCCTTGGGTAATCATTAAAGGTGAAAATGAAAATAATTGCTTTTTGAGGTAGCCAGTTTTGTGAGATCGATTTTTGTTAGGCAGCAGTCATGGAAAGATGATTTAGTTCAGTTAACATTAATAGTACTCGTGGTAATCCTAACAGGTGAATGTGGTTCAAAATAAATTGCCAGGGAATTGTCATGGTCTAGAAAAGCCACCGTCTCCAACAGATTGCCCACACAGCTACGTATCAGCCTTCCTCACTGTGAAAGTGACAGACACAGCCAGGGACAGTGGCTCACGCCTGTAATCCCAGCACCTTGGGAGGTTGAGGGAGGCGGATCACCTGAGGTCAAGAGTTCGAGACCAGCCTGACCAACATGGAGAAACCCTGTCTCTACTAAAAATACAAAATTAGCCAGGTGTGGAGGCACATGCCTATAATCCCAGCTACTTGGGAGGCTGAGGCAGGAGAATCACTTGAACCCAGGAGGCAGAGGTTGTTGAGCCGAGATTGCCCCATTGCACTCTAGCCTGGGCAGCAAGAGTGAAACTCTGTCTGAAAAAAAAAGAAGCATTTTTATTCATCTCCTTTAGGAGCCTCAACTTTTTCTCCCACTCTCAGCTGAAAAGAGATACATCTACCATTTCATCCACTTAGTATATTTTCTTGTTGGTTATGTTAAAAAATTACAAACATAATAACTATGAATGAAAAGTAACTCCATGGCCAGGCATGGTGGCTCATGCCTGTCATCCCAGCACTTTGGGAGGCTGAGGTGGGTGAACAAGGTCAAGAGTTCAAGACCAGCCTGGCCAAGATGGTGAAACCCCCTGTCTACTAAAAATACAAAATTTAGCTGGGCATGGTGGCGTGTGCTTGTAATCCCAGCTACTCGGGAGGCTGAAGCAAGAGGATCACCTGAACCCGGGGAGCAGACTTTGCAGTGAGCCGAGATTGTGCCACTGTGCTCCAGCCTGAGCAAGAATCTGTCTCAAAAAAAAAAAAAAAAAAGCCATCCTTTCCTTGGGATTGTGCTACTGTCCCATGTGCGCATAGTGAGGGCGGTACTGCTAATGTCTGAGCAACACACCCGCATCACCTACAGCTTTGCTTTACCTTGGTGCAATTTTTGGAAAAACAAAAAGCCACTTAAAAAAAAATAACTCCTAAGATGATTAAAACAAACTTGCTTCTACAATAAACCATAAACTCACCATATCTAGTGATTCTGTGCATTAAACCTCTTGAACATGTTTACCAATTTGGTGTTAGGAAAAATTGTTTAGAAGTTGTGTATGGGCTGGCACAATGGCTCAGTCCTGTAATCCCAGCACTTTGGGAGGTTGAGGTGGGTGGATCACCTGAGGTCAGGAGTTTGAGATCAGCCTGGTTAACACGGTGAAACCCCATCTCTACAAAAAATACAAAAATTAGCCAGGCATGCACTAATTAGTGGGCTAGACCACTACTGGTGCATGCATCTCCAGTCCCAACTACTTGGAGGCTGAGGTGGCAAGATAACTGGAGCCCAAGAGGTTGACGCTACAGTGAGCTGTGGTCATGCCACTGCATTCCAGCCTGGGTGACAGAGCAACACTGTCTCAAAAAAAAAGGTTGTGTTTGTATTCCACTTTCTAACTGGATATAGTCTCCATATCAAGTTCATCTAAATAAATATAATGTTTTGGAGAGATTAAATGCTAATAATCTTCCAAAGTATCCTGGGTGAACTGTACACCCGTGCTGCTAGCCATGTATTCGCAAGAGCCAAAAGGTGAAAAAACACTCAAATGTCCATCAACCAATGAATGGATAAACAAAATGTGGTCTATCTGTAGGACAGAAAACTATACCACCTTAAAACGTAAGGAGATGCTGGCTGGGTATGGTGGCTCACGCCTGTAATCCCAGCACTGGGAGGCTGAGGCTGGCGAATCACCTGAGGTTGGGAGTTCAAGACTAGCCTGACCAACTATACTAAAACTGACCAACCTGCATCTCTATACTAAAAGCACAAAATTAGCTGGGCGTGGTGGTACATGCCTGTCATGCCACCAACTTGGGAGGCTGAGGCAGGAGAATTGCTTGAACCCAGGAGGCAGAGGTTGCAGTGAGCCGGGATCACGCCATTGCACTCCAGCCTGGGCAACAAGAGTGAAACTCTGTCTCTCAAAAATAAAAATAGGGCCGGGCGTGGTGGCTCAAGCCTGTAATCCCAGCACTTTGGGAGGCCGAGGCAGGTGGATCGCGAGGTCAAGAGGTCGAGACTATCCTGGTCAACATGGTGAAACCCCGTCTCTACTAAAAATACAAAAAAAATAGCTGGGCATGGTGGCACGTGCCTGTAATCCCAGCTACTCAGGAGGCTGAGGCAGGAGAATTGCCTGAACCCAGGAGGTGGAGGTTGTGGTGAGCCGAGATCGCGCCATTGCACTCCAGCCTGGGTAACAAGAGCAAAATTCTGTCTCAAAAAAAAAATAATAATAATAATAATAAATTAAAAAAGGTGAAGGAGATTCTGATACACGCTACAAGGCAGGTGAGCCCTGAGATCATCAGGCTATGGGAAATAAGCCAGTCACGAAAAGACAAAAATACTATAGGATTCCACTTGTATAAATAAGAGACCTAGAGGAGGTCACAGAGACAGAAAGTAGAATGGTGGCCGTCAGGGGCTGGGAAGGAGGAGTGGGGAGTTGTTAGGTGGGTACAGTGTCAGTCAGGGATCACAGAAAGTTCGGGGGGTGAATGGTGGTGACGGGGGTATGCACATGCTGCCGTATGTGCTTACAGATGGTTAGGATGACATATTTTGTATAGTTTAAAGATAATTACATAATGGAATATCAAATACAGGGTCATTAAAAACAGGACAGCTTTTATTTATTTATTTATTTATTTTTAGTAGAGATGGGATTTCTCCATGTTGGTCAGGCTGGTCTGGAACTCCTGACCTTGTGATACACCTGCCTTGGCCTCCCAAAGTGCTGGGATTACAGGCATGAGCCATCGAGCCCAGCTGATAACTTTTAAAATTTGAAAAAATCCCCTCTGCAGGAATTGGGTATGTAAATTTAAAAATTTAAAAAAAAAAAAATCCCTGAGTGACCAGGTAGATCTTTCAGGCTTATAATGAAAATAGCAGCGTTTCTTATTGTAACTACTTCGAAAATATTCACCGACCACATTCTTTTTCTAGTCTGCTACATTCTTGATTTCCCAGACAAGCATGTTTTTTTTTGAGATGGAGTTTCACTGTTGTTACCCAGACTGGAGTGCAATGGCACGATCTCGGCTCACCACAACCTCCGCCTTCTGTGTTCAAGCAATTCTCCTGCCTTGGTCTCCCGAGTAGCTGGGATTACAGGCACACACCACTATGCCCAGCTAATTTTTGTATTTTTAGTAGAGATGGGGTTTCACCATGTTGACCAGGATGGTCTCGATCTCTTGACCTCGTGACCTACCCGCCTCGGCCTCCCAAAGTGCTGGGATTACAGGCGTGAGCCACAGCACCCGGCCTGTTTTTTTTTTTTTTAACTTTCCTTTTTTTTGAGACCTGAGTCTTGCTCTATTGCCCAGGATGGAGGGCAGTGATGCAATCTTGGCTCACTGCAACCTCTACCTCCTGGGTTCAAGTAATTCTGCTTCAGCCTCCTGAGTAGCTGGGATTACAGGCACCTGCCAGCATGCCCGGATGATTTTTGTACTTTTAGTAGAGACAGGGTTTCACCATGTTTGCCAGGCTGATCTCCAACTCCTGACCTAAAGTAATCCACCTGCCTCGGCCTCCCAAAGTGTTGGGGTTACAGGTGTGAGCCACCGTGCCCAGCCTTATTTTTTTCTGACAGTCTCACTGTGTCGCCCAGGCTGAAGTACAGTGGCACAATCTTGGCTCACTGCAACCTCTGCCTCCCTGGCTCACACAATTCTCATACTTCAGCCACCCAAGTAGCGGGTATTACGGGTATGTGCCAACACGCCCAGCAAACTTTGTAGTGTTAGTAGAGATGGTGCTTCACCATGTTGGCCAGGCTGGTCTTGAACTCCTGACCTCAGGTGATCTACCCATCTCGGCCTCCCAAAGTGCTGGGATTACAGGCGTGAGCCACTGCGCCCGGCCAAATCTCTTTTTAAAAATTTGAGACAGTCTGTCATCCAGGCTGGAGTACAGTGGCACAATCTCAGCTCACTGTAACCTCTGCCTCCCAGGTTCAAGCAATTCTTAGGCCTCTGCCACCCGAGTAGCTGATATTACAGGTGTGTGTCAACACACCCTGTGAATTTTTGTATTTTTAGTAGAGATGGGGTTTTGCCATGTTGGGCAGGCTAGTTTCGAACACCTGGCCTCAAGGGAGCTGCCTGCCTCGGCGTCCCGAAGTGCAGGATTACAAGCGTGAGCCACTGCTCCTGGCCTAGAACTCTTAAAGAAAATGAAGAATGTGTTTTTATTTTCTTTTTTGCATATCCAAGACATTGCACTCAAGTTTCTGAATCTGCCTTACTATTAGGTTGGCGCAAAAGTAATTGGGGATTTTGCCGTTAAAAATTAAAAATGGCAAAAACCACAATTAGTTCTGCACCAATCTAGTATTTAGGAAAATGGAATGAGTTCCACGAGGGTGGGGATTTCTGTCTTCTTCATGTACGCTGTCTACGGTCAGCAGCTAGAACAGCGGTGCACACACAGCAGGCGCTCAACCAGTCGGTATTTGTTGGGTGAATCAAAGAATGAAAATCACATTCAAGCCAATACACGTGGATTGAACTACTGTTGTATTATTAGGCTATGACAGTTACAATTCCACAAACTGTGTAAGTGGACATTCGTCAGGATGGTAAGTCTCTCCATTTTACAGCTCTTTGGGAAGTTCTGGGGCCAGAAAATCAGAATTCCATGATAGGATTTTCTCAGCTGAACTCAGGACAGAGTACAGTCTGAGCATGACTGGGGCCTTCCTGCAGGTAGAAGCATTTCCTCTGCAGTCACAGGGAGAAAACATCAGGAGCTGGATGCAATTTCAGATTGGCACCAAGAAAGACGCTGATT